CATGTGATTATCCCAATAGATGCAGAAAAAGCATTTGACAAAATTCAACATCCCTTCCTGATAAAGACCCTCAGCAAATTAGGTATAGAAGGAAAGTATCTCAACCCGATAAAAGTCATATATAACAAACCCCCTGTCAATATCATCCTGAATGAACACAAACAAGACAAGGATGCCCACTCTCACCACTCCTATTTAATATAGTGCTAGAGGTACTAACCGCAGCAATCAGGCAACAGAAAGAAATAAAGGGCATCCAGATTGGCAAGGATGAAGTCAAACAGTCCCTGTTTGTAGATGATATGATCCTGTATACAGAAAAACCTAAAGGATCAACCAAAAAACTCTTAGAGTTGATTAGTAATTTCAGCAATGTTTCAGGACACAAAATCAATATCCAAAAATCAGTAGCATTTTAATCCCCTATAATAAACTAGCAGAAAATGAAATCAAGAAAGCAAGTCGATTTACAATTGTCATGAAAAAAATAAAATACTTAGGGATCAATTTAATCAAGGAGGTGAAAGATCTCTACAATGAGAACTATAAAACACTACTGAAAGAAATTAAAGAGGATGCAAAAAGGTGGAAAGACATTCCATGCTCTTGGACTGGAAGAATTAACATCATGAAAATGTCCATACTACTCAAAGCTACCTACAGATTCAATGCAATCCCCACCAAAATATCAATGACATTCTTCACAGAAATAGATAAAACAATCCTAACATTCATATGGAACAACAAAAGACCATGAATAGTGAAAGCAATCCCGAGCAAAGAAAGTAAAGCCAGAGGCATAACATTACATGACTTCAGATTATACTAAAAAGGTATTATAATCCAAACAGCATGGTACAGGCATAAAAAAGACACTTGGACCAATGAAACAGAATAGAAAACCCAGAAATCAACCCACATACTTACAGCCAATTGATATTTGACAAAGGCAGCAAGAACATACATTGGGGGAAAGACTGCCTCTTTAAATGGTGCTGGGAAAATTGGACATCTATATGCAGAATAAAACTAGATCTGTAACTCTCACCAAATGCCAAAATCAACTCAAAATGGATTAAAGACTTAAGTATAAGACCTGAAACCACAAAGCTACTAAAAGAAAACGTAGGAGAAACACCTAGGAAAGTAAGACTGGTCAAAGACTTTATTAATAAGACACCCAAAGCATAGCAACAAAAGAAAAACTAAACAAATGGGATTATATCAAACTAAAATCTTCTGCACAGCAAAGGAAACAATCAACAGAATGGAAAGACAACCTACAGAATGGGAGAAAATATTTGCAAACTAAACATCTTACAAGGGATTAATATCCAGAATATATAAGGAACTCAAACAACTTGACAGTAAAAAATCAAATAATCCAATTAAAAAATGGGCAAAGGAGCTGAATAGACATTTTTCAAAGGAAAACATACAATTGGCCAACAGGCACACACAAAAAATGCTCAGCATCACTAATCATCAGGGAAATGCACACCAAAACCACATCGAGATATCATCTCACCCCGATTAGACTGGCCATTATTAAAAAGACTGAAAATAACAAATGCTGGTGAGGATGTGAAAAAAGGGGAACTCTCCTACACTGTTGGTGAGACTGTACAATAGTACAAACATTATGGAAAATAGTATGGAGGTTTCTGAAACATCTACAGATAGAAATACCATATGATCCAGCAATCCCACTTCTGGGTGTATACCCAACAGAATGCAAAACATCATGTCAAAGGGATACCTGCACTCCCATGTTCATCACAGCTCTATTTACAATAGCCAAAATATGGAACCAACCTAAATGTCCATGAACAGATAAGGAAATTGTGGTATACATATGCAATGGAATACTACTCACCCATAAAAAATAATAAAATTCTGCCATTTGCAGCAACATGGATGAGGTTGGAGAAAATTATGTTAAGTGAAATAAGACAGAGGCAGAAAGAGAAGTACCACATGTCCTCACTCATAAGTGGGTTCTAAGAAGGGAGAGAGGGGGGAGGGGAGGGGAGGGGAAGGAAGGGAAGGGAAGGGAAGGGAAGGGTAGGGAAGGGAAGGGAAGGGAAGGGCCACAATAATACACTGATCTTTCAGGAGAGAACAAATCTATGGTTACTAGAGGTGGTAGGGGGTCAGGGGTGGGGGTGGAGTGAGAGTGGGTAGGGGACATACAGAATAATTATGATTTGTAACAATGAACATGTTGATAATATTAATTTGAGCAACTCATGTTGTACACAGGTGATGGTAGTCAACATTGTACAACCAAAATATGTACAATCAATCATGCATCAATAAAAAAACAGAAAAAGTACCACCACATTGTTGTGCAACCAATCTCAAGAACACTTCAATCCTGCAAAACTGAAACTCAATACCCACTAAACAACAATTCCATTTCCTGGGGAGCCCATGACAACCACCATTCTTTTTGGTTCTGTGAATTTGACTATTCTAACATCTCATATGAGTGGAATCACACAGTATTTGTCATTTTGTGACTGGCTGATTTATTTTAGCATAATGTCCCCAAGGTTCATCCATGCTGTAGCATGTGTCAGAATTTCCTCCCTTTTCAAGCCTGAATAAATACTTCATTGTACATATTTACCACATTTTGCTTATGCACTCATCCATCAATGTACATTTGAGTTGCTTCCACCTTTTGGCTAGTGTGAATAATGTCGCCTTGAACATGGGTATACAAATATCTTTTGGGGATCCTGCTTTCAATTCTTTTCAATATGTACTGCTATGGGCTAAATGTGTCCCCCCAAAGTTCGTGTGTTGGAAACTTGACCCCCATTATAACAGTGTTAAGAGAGTGGGAAATCCGATTATGGTATATGAAATGTGAGTCGGAGCCTTTGAGAGGTGCTTGGATTGTAATGACTCTTTCCTCATGAATGGATTAACCCATTCTCGAATACATGTTAATGGTTTAGTGGTTTTTCATGGATGTGGAGTGGTGACTTTATAAGGAGAGCACAAAAAAGAACTCCTCCCATTCTTGCCATGTGTGTGCCTGTGTCATCATAGAACTCTGTACAAGGTCCCCAGCAAGGAGAAGACCCGATGAACACTCTAGACCGTGCACTTCCCAGCCTCCAACATTGTAAGAAATAAGTATCATTTCCATATAAATTACCCAGTTTCATGTATTGTTATAAGCAACAGAAAATGGACTAACACATATACCCAGAGGTAGAATTGCTGGATCATATGGTAATTTTATTTTTAATTTTTTGAGGAACTGCCATACTGTTTTCCATAATGGCTACACCGTTTTACATTCCCACCAGCAGGACAGAAGAGTTCCACTCCCTCATATCTTAGCCAACACTTGTTATTTTTCATAGAAGTCAACAAAGTGGGTATGAGGTGATAACTCATTGTGGTTTTAATTGCATTTCCCTAATTATTAGTGATGCACAATGCTATTTTTAAATTGCATTCTGATTCAGTACGAGAATTTTGTGGGCCAGAGAGCACATCAGGGCAGGTCACCATCATCCAGACCTGACTTGTCTCAGGTGGGTCCTGGCTATTTCTGAGGACATTCACATTGTATGATGCCTATATCACTGGGCCTTTTCTCTCCCAACTCCCAAGGAATTCCCTTCCTAAATTTGATTTCCTCACAATTTTTAATCCCTTAAGCTTCAAATCAAAATGTCCTTTTAATTCCGGCTATTTCTGAGGACATTCACATTGTATGATGCCTATATCACTGGGCCTTTTCTCTCCCAAATCCCAAGGAATTCCCTTCCTAAATTTGATTTCCTCACAATTTTTAATCGCTTAAGCTTCAAATCAAAATGTCCTTTTAATTCTAGATTCTAGAGTGATCAGAAAGATTTCTCTTCTGTGGTCTCAGATCACTTCACCTACAGCCCCATTTTATTTGTTCTTTCATAGCTGTCATTTATATCAATGTCTTCCTTAGTTGATATTAAGCAACTTTAAATTGGATACAGGGCTTTCTCTTCTTTCATCCTTCCAGAATTCAACAGGGTGTTGGGTACATAGCCAGAGAGGAATAGATTTTTTTGGTGCATTATTTCAGGAAAGTGTGTCCACGTATGCTACTTTATATTTAAGCCAATTGAGAAAGTTATATAACCCAATCTTATCTTAAAATTGTATTAGCTGATGTTTTGGATTCTCAGTACCCAAAATTGCACCCACCTCATTTAATTGGAAGAAAAATGAAAATCAGACTATTATAAAGCATATAAAACCTATTTTGGTGAACTAATCCTATTCAACCTGATAGCATTTTTCATTGATGTAAAATGGAATAAAGCTAACTATGACATATTGTTTCTTCTGTTTATACCTCCGCCACCTACGTTAAAAAACAAAAATCAAAACTTTCCCAGTCAGCTTACTGTATTATTAAAAATGCAGTATGTATTTCTTAGGCATTGTTTCTTTTTGGTTGGGTTTTTTTTTTGGGGGGGGCGGTAACTGTTACACATCTCTTCTTTACTCACAGCATACAAAGATGGCTATTCATATAGTGCCACTCCTAATACACACAGGTCACAAAATAACATTCCCTTTAAGACAAACATCATGCTATTATAAACGAGGTGTCACAAAATAAGAGATATTCTAATATGGTATTGAAAAGGAATTGCTTTGAACTCTAAGAGCTTAGAGAACAAGTAAATGCATCTGCCTATAATTTTCAATCAGTCACCTTATTGTTCGGAGAAGGAGATGACAGTATAAACACCCTGTAAGTATTTTATTCAGAGGAGAAAAGGAAACATAAAGAATCTGAAGCTAAGGTAGGCTGACAGGTTGATTTAATAGCACCAGGGACTTGCTGTTTTTCAGACACAGTTGCAATAGCTCTATTATGTAATGGAACGATGACGTTCTAAGATTTATGGTAAATACATGTAGTAGCAAAAGTAAATAAATTAATCAATTGATTAAAAACAAACAGAAGACCTTCCCACTATTCCTACCTGGAGGTAGATCCTGCATTTTGGGAATATAAAAATACTCCCTGAAGTGCTTCAGCTTATCTTCCTCATCTAGGTGAAGAGCGACCCTCTCATCGGTTGGGTGACATCTCAGTTCAGCCGCGATGCGTTGCACTGTGTCCACTGGCAACTCAAGAGGTAAAGGATCCATTACAAGCTGTTTCCTAAATATGAAACAAAATAAAACATAATCTGGCCATCATCATTTTTCTGCAGAAAATTAGTCTTTTAGGTAAAACACCTTTTGTTTTAACTAACAATTGCCGTTTTCTGAACCTCAGAAATAATACAATTAATTTTTTTTTTTAAAGAAAGAATATAATTAACCAACCAGCATTAGACCCCATGCCTGAGTTTTTCTAATACATAAAATGAAGAAAACAATAGTAAATTAGGGCTGTTGAAAAAACTAAATTAGGTAATAGTGCTCAAGAGAGATTAAGTTCTCAATAAATGTTAGCTTTTTCCATACTTATAATATAGAAAAATGTACCACATTTGTGGCTTCAGAACGTATACAGTATCATCCGCTTTTCTCCAGATAGCTCACTAGGAGGTGACAGTAAAGATGCTTTTGTAAAAGTGTAGAACAGCGCCCCATCAAGCCTATCATTCCCCCTATCTCACCTCTACTATCCTAACCCCCATTGGTTCTTGGATCATAGTTTTAAAACTATAGACCTACGAAACCTTATCAAAATTCTTTTTTTTTTTTTTTTGTGACTGGTAAGGGGATTGTAACCCTTGGCTTGGTGTCCCCCGCACAACGCTCAGCCAGTGAGCGCACTGGCCATCCCTATATAGGATCCAAACCTGCGGCCTTGGCGCTACAAGCACCACTGCACTCCCAGTGCCGCACTCTCCCGAGTGAGCCACAGGTTTGGCCCTTATCAAAATTCTTTATGGTGAATAAAATGATACTGATAAAAAAAGGTCACTGCTGTGGACTAAATGTCCCCCCAAAACTCACTGAGGCTTGACCCCCATTTTAACAGTGCTAGGAGAGTGGGAAATCCAATTATGGTATTTGAAAGGTGGGGCCTTTAAGAGGTGATTAGGTTGTGAGGACTGTGCCCTTGTGAATGAATTGATCCATTCTTGGAGTAATGGGTGTTTCTGATGGCTTTTTTAAAGAGGGGAAGAGAAGGTTAGTTCTCTCTTGCTCATAAGATTCTCACTATGTGTTATCCTGCATTTCTATAGATAATCACCTCCAAGATGAAGGCCCTCAACAGAAGTATTATCTGGACCTTGGACTTCCCAGTCCCCAAACTGTTAAGAAATAAATTTTATTTCTTTATAAATTACCTAGTTTCAGGTATTCTGTTAAAAACAGCAGAAATGGACTAACATAGAGACTTTAATGCAAATGGTAGTATTTTTGCCATATGAATACCAGAGGTATATACAGATTCATCCACATGCTGTTGATAATGATAAGACATTTCTTCTTTTTCACCACCATTTGTACCATCTTAGAACAAACAGGACCCTGTATTGTTTTCTGAAACCACATTCTACTCTGTTTAACCATCGCTTAACATTTCACACTTTTTTTTTTTTTTTTTTTTGTCTTTTGTA